AGCAGTGAAGTTTAGTGTCCGCTCCCCCTCCCCCACTTTTGTGACTATTGGCTGGCACTGTCCCCGGCCCTAGCTGGAGACAGCTAGCTGACTTGGCCTTTACCTCTCACTCTGTCCCGAGCTCTGTCTGCACTGGTGCCTCTGGGGACTTGCTCCCTGTCTTTTCCACTCTCCCACTGGGTGGGGCTCAGGACTTCCTGGCGGGGGGCCCAGCTGGAGGGCTGAGGTGTAGACTCCAGTCTGGGATGGCTTTACAAACTCTAAAGGTACAGGGAGGAGGGGGGCGGGGGGGACAGGGGGAGAGATGCCCTCTTTTCCCAAAGCACAAAGATGAGGTCCAGCTGATTCTAGGGCTAAGAGAGATGTCAGTCGTGGACAAGGGTACGAGGGCCAGAATAAAAACTCGTCAAGTGATGGCTGCTTGTATTATTTTCCTCCCCACGGAATCCACACTTGATGTGCCTGGTGGGTCCTTCAGCCAGGCAGTCCTGTCCCCTCCTAGGGAGGACACTGGCCTCATCTTGTGAGGCGGGAAACGGAGGATCAAAGAGGTTGCCAAGGCCACACAGCTGGAGCGTCAACTGGAATGTCAACCTCTGACCCTGTGGCTGGTGGTGCCCTTAGGAGGTGCATGGAGGACCACAGGGCATAAAAAAAAAAAAAAAAAAAGATGGGCAGATGATTGACATGTGGGTGGGCCCAACCACCCAAGGGTTGGGAGGATGGTAAATGGGAAAGGGTCGAAGCCTGATGATAGTACACACCTGTCCCAGCAATCAAGGCTGAGGCAGGAAGCGCTCTAGCTGGAGACCAGCCTGGGCTACACAGTGATACCCTGTCTCAACAACAAACCCTTCTTATTGGCCTGTTCCTGGTAGCTCAGGGGTTGACTGCAGAGAATCCTGGCACATGAAAACTGAGAGAAAGAATCTGTAATTGATTAGTAATGTCTGCTATGTTTTTTCTTGTTTTGTTTTTTTGGAGACAGGGTTTCTCTGTGTAGCTTCCCTTCTGTAAAGCCCCCCTGAGCCCAGTGAAGAAGTGGGGACCCAGGAGTCACAGCAGACATCACTGCCTTGGGGGCAGGTACACGGAAGACTATAGACAGGGTATTCCAGTCAAAACCATCTTCCACAGGGCGGTGGTGGCACACGCCTCAATCTCAGCACTCGAGAGGCAGAGGCAGGGAGATCTCTGAGTTTGAGGCCAGCCTGGTGTATAGACCAAGTTCTAGGACAGCCAGGGCTACACAGAGAAACCCTGTCTTGAGACTCCTTCCCCCTCTGCCCCCTCCCCCCGAAAAAAATCAAGGTCAGGGGACCATGTGCTCCTGGGTGCAGCACACACTGAGTCCTCCCATTCCCCTTGGGGCCATAGCTGACTGTGGGGACTGAGTCAGGGCACTGGTGACTACCTGCTGGGCACAGGATTGGGGTGGGGGGAAGGGGGGGTTGCTCCATGAGGCAGGGTCACAGGTATGCCCTTACCAAAATACTCCTTCGAGTGACAGGGGGCCTTGGGGGCAGTTAGTCAGTGCTGACGTGCAGGGACAGATCTAGAGGTACTGTGTGGGGTCAGGAATGTTCTAAGAAGTCACCAGTGATGGAGGAACACTCAGGCCAGAGGTTACGGTTACGCATCCACCCACCCCAAGTGGTTAATTCACTTGGATCAGCCATGGTGCTGCCATCTGACTGCCAGAGAATGACCCCTGACCCATTTTCGGCCGATGAGATGTGAGATGTGAGCGGGGGGGGGCACCCAGTGTCCATCAGAAAAAAAGTGACCAAGGTCGATGGTGGAAATGTGGAGGGATGGACCCCAGTGCATGGACAGTTCCTCAGAGAGTCAAAGACAGAACCACGGATGACACAGGCACCTGAGAGGGGCTCGGTGTGCATATGTGTTCCCAGAAGCACTAATTTACCACAGCCACATGCAGGCTTGGATCCATCGGGATGGTGGGCATGCGTACCTGTGGGCCTTGTGGTCTCAACGGATGAGGATGGCTGTGATGTAGAGATTTAGGGTAGTGAGGAGAGGGGCAGCCGCACTGGGCTGCTGGCTGAGTGCGTCCAGAGCCTTGGCTGGTAACATCACTGGCATCCACCCCCTGCCTGGGCACAGCCACACAGGCAGAGAGAACAGTATTTCTGGAGCCCTGAGTAAAATCAGTCCGGGGGCCTGTTTTGTCTCCTTTTTGGTGTTGGGAATGGAACTTTGAGGCAGGGGGCGGCCAGCCTCAGACTCATGCCTCAAGACTGCGGGAGAGAAGCATTCAGGACTGGGAGCCACCGAAGGAGGGCAGCGTCATACAGTACCTCTCGTCAGTGAGTTCAAGCATTGGTCTCCAGTCACAGCCATTTCACAGATGAGGAAAAGGAGTCCTAAGTGATCGATGAGGGAGAAACCAGCACAGGCTTGGCTGCCTGGCTCTAAGGCTGGCCTGTGGGTGCCTCAGGGTAGCGTCACAGGCTAGCTCCCCGGTGGGCCACCTTGGACAAGGTCACTTCTGTCCCACCCCGCTGCTCTTGGGTCTTGGGGTGGCTTCTGCATCTGGGTGCTGTGAAGGCCCAGTTTCTATAGCAACTAACCCCACCAAGGCTATACAGAGCTGAGCTTTAGAAAGATGGGCAGTGGTGGTGCGCATCTTTAATCCCAGCACTCGGGAGGCAGAGGCAGGCGGATCTCTGTGAGTTCGAGGCCAGCCTGGTCTACAGAGCGAGTTCCAGGACAGTCGAGGCAACACAGGGAAACCCTGTCTCAACAAAACCAAACCAAACCAAACCAACAAAAAGATGGACCCAGATGGGGTGGGATGGGGGAAGTGAGGAGAATACAATCGTTCATTCAGGTGGGGGTAGGGGTGAGTCAGGGCAGGCAGAGGGACCCACCTGGCTAAAGATGCAAATCCAAATGCAACACCCACTGCCTCATGCCTGCTGGAGCTCCCCAGTAAGTACCCTCCGGAGAAGCATGCTTCCCATCATGCCCCGTGGTGCTTCTCAAACGGGCCTCTGTGTCCTTCCCATGCTCCCCTTCCCCACGTTGCAGCCTCCTTTGGCCTCTTCCTGGTGGGTTCTTGGCCCCACGGTACCCTCTGCGCTCACTTCCCTCTGGACCCCTTTCCGTCTCCTGTCACGGTTCATTGTGTCAAGGTGTCCTCTTCTCCATGAAGAACTCCTGGACCCCAGGCCTGATGCACTTCCCTCCTGGTTCCTCTACCAAGGCACGGAACATGCAGTAGTCACTAAATAAACACTAGCTAGACGAACGTATGTCAAATCACCCCCCATTCAGCTCACTTCTCTCTTCTGCACCCGTCCAAACCTGCTTCCTCCAGGAAGGCCTCCAGGTTTTCCCAGTCCATCCTGATCCCTCTCCTCTCCCTCCCCCAGATCAGAATTCCACAGCTTGGTGTTTTCCTTCAAGTTTCTACTTCAGGGCAAAGGACAGCTGACGTGATGTCAACACCAAAGCTGATGATCCCCAAAGGAACCCCTGTCCCCAGAGCTGACAAGAACCCCTGGCTACTGTAGGGTCTCAAGTGACATCCCAGGCCTGCACTCCCTGCAGGGGTCCCAGAATGTGGATTTTTGACTAGGTTTTTGTTTTGTTTTGAATTTTCAAGGAAGTCTTGCCATGTTGTCCAGGCTGTTCTTGAATGGCTAGACTCAGGAATCCCCCTGCCTCAGCTTCTTGAGTAGCTAGGATAACAGGAATATATCACCTTGTCCCATCAGTCTCTCAACCTTCCTAAGAGTGGTGACCTGGGGCCAGAATGATTAGTCCCCAGTAATCCAAAATTTACAGGTGCCCGGTAAGGAAATGGATAGCCATCCCCACTTTAAAGGAAATGGATAGCCATCCCCACTTTACAGCCCAGGAAACTAAGGCATACAGAGCTTTAGGCATTCTCTCAATGTACACAAAGCTCTCAGAAGTGGGGCTGGTATGGAAACCAGGCAGTCTGGCTCCCTGACTCAGAGACGCCCGGGGCCAGCCTGCCAGGTCACCCTTCATGGGACAGCTTCCCCACCCCCACCCTGTGTTGCCTGGGAGCCAGCCTTCGGGATTCAGGCAAGTTCTCCCAGCCATGGTGGGGAGAGTGAGTCACCAAGTCCTCCCCTGAGAGGATGTGTGGAAACCAGGGGTTATAGAAAGGTTTACCAGTGAACCATCTGAGCTACTCCATGTGGCTCTGGTTCATGGGTGAGTGATGGTCGAGGCATGAGACAAGACAACCCCACCCCCCACCCCCACCCCCATCTCCTGCTTCAGATGACAGTCACATGGTTGTCGAGCTCCTGGTTCAGACACTGGAGAGGTGTACCCAGCTCCACACAATTCCAAACCGCCACCCCAGAATGCACCATGAGCTACTGCTGCAACACCCCACTTGACAGATGTGGAAACAGGCCTGCATGACACAGCTGGGAAGGGGCAGTGCTGTGCCTGTCTGGGGAAGGCCCTTTTAGCACAGACCTATTCCCCACTCCATTTATAGACCGGCTGAGGGTCCTGGCTTGTGGGCACAGGTATAAAAGCAAGGCTCAATCTTGACCCCTAGTCCCAGGCTCCAGAGTCCAACCACCCAGCCTCGAGGCCACAATGGGGCTTCCAACCCCAGGCTGTCTTCAGAGCAGCTGGGATCCTGCCCTCAGTCACCAACCAGATGCTACAGTCCCCATTCAGGCCATGGGCAAGGAAGGCCACTCCTCAGCTGGCTGTAGTCACCACAGATGGTGGCCCAGTACAGTCAGAGTTTAGAGTTTTCAGAAGTTGGCACTGAAGTGCTTATGGGACACACCCCCATATTTGACCGCTGGTACTCAGTTAAAAAAAAACAACAGTATTTCTGGGCATGGTGGTGTATGCCTATAATCCCAGCACTCAGGAGGGAAGATCAGGTGTTCAAAGTCACCCTTCACTACAGAGTGAGTCTGAGGGCATCCTGGGTCACATGAGAGTCTCTCAAAACCAAATCATGTAGCCAATGGTGGTGGCGTACGCCTTTAATCCCAGCACTCAGGAGGCAGAGGCAGGCAGATCTCTTGAGTTCCAGGCCAGCCAGGGCTATACAGCGAGACACTGTCTTGATAAATATATAAACAAACAAGCAATCAAAAAAGGCCTAATTTTTAAATATATGATTTTGAGCTGGTGAGGGAGCTCAGGAGGTGAAGACACTCGCCACGCAAGCCTCACGGCCAAGTTCAATTCCCTGGAACCCACAGAGACAATCAACTCTGGCAAGCTGCTCTCTCATCTCCACACACGTATCCACACTCACATACCGCACAAACCCTAATAGTAATAAAGAAATTAATCCTAACACTCAGAAGGCAGAGGCAGGCATATCTCTATAAGTTCCGGGCCAGCCTGGGCTACATAGTGAGGCCTTGTCTTAAAAAAAAAAAAAAAACAAAATAAAACAAACACACCACCACCAAAACCCTGCAAACAAAAATTAAAACAAACAAAAACTCATTTTGTATGACACCTCTGAGGACCGACTCTGAACCCATTTTGCACCCCAGCTCCAGAACAAATGGGGACACCCAGGATTATTATACAATTCTGTATTTAGGGACGTGTTTACAGAATGTGTCCCTTTTGTAAAATTTTAGACAAAGTTCATCATCATCAATCTCTCATAGAAACAGTTTGTGGGTATGTCTGCTTGTTTCAAACCGTTGTAGGATGTGAACTGGTTGGATCTCTTGCAGGTCCGTGGGCTTCTGCACAACCAGGATTCTGTGGTCAAAGGTCAACACCAGATCCCGTCACACTAAAGCCACAGTGAATTCTGCTGAGTCGCCTCGACGTGTGGCGTGGATCACCACAACAGGCAGTTTCAGGATGAGAAGTGGCAGGGTCTCCCTGGGGGTGGGGGTGTGTAGCCACGGGGGCGGCAGAGGCCGAGACAGGCTTCGTTTGTCCCAGAACGGATTCCTCTGAATACTCATCATGGTTTCCTCGTGTCAAAATATAAAAATACCCTCCTCTGGATAAAAACGTATATAGTGGAAAACTTCTCAATGCATAGCCAGGGTTATGTGTGGAAAAAGAGGTTTTTCCGGGGCCTGTTGGATGTCATCTGTCTGCAGCTGGGCACATGAGAGTTAGAAATTCCAGAACATTATTTTTTTTTTCCTTTCTGGTGGCCAACTTTAGGCTCACATGATTTCAAGATAGTCACTGCATCGGAAGAGCCGTTAGTCCCTCGAGCACTGAATGGCGACAGAGATGCCCACACATTTATCATCACGGCCAGTTCAGCTTCCACAGTGTGGGAAAAAAAAAAAAAAAGAAAGGAATAAAGGCTGGAGAGACTCAACAGCCGATCTGATACGGAGGCCGTCGCATCCAATGGGACCTTTCTCCCTGGAAATCCCGATCAGGTTGGAGGAAGGCTGTTTCAGAGTTAGAGGAGTCACATTTTTTTGATCACAAGCAGGTCTTGTGTAGGAAAATAGACCAAGAGGTGGGGGGATATGGTGGCCGTGTCGTAGTGACTTTGGCCTTACCGAGTTCCACAGACTCCTGGACACTTTCCAGAGATGCACCGATGTTAACTTCAGAAGATGGTGGGAAACAGAGTTTGAGGTATCTGACTGGATGGATCTAGTTTTCGGAGCTGGTTGCTAAGCTTTGGGGGGCTACGGTGAAGCAACGCTTTCTCTTCTAGAAATAAGGAAGGAAGGTGGAAGCCACAGGGTTTTCTGGAATAGAGTGGCCTTGCTCAGACCTTAGGAGAAACCTTCCAAGTACGGCCACGATTCAGGATGGGAGCCAGGGTCACTCTGACATAAGTGACCCTCTTTGAGTACCTCCCCCACACCCCAGTTTTCCAAAGGTTCCGGAAACACTTTGTCTATCCACAGGAGGTTTCTAACTCGGGCTTGGAGGCCTTTGTGAAACACACTACATTCGCTAAGGGCAACATTTCCACCAGCGACAGGATCTCCTGCGACCTGGAGCCTGCAGACAGGCCGCCGGCATGGTCCCACCCTCAGCAGCATGGAGGTTTTCATTTAGAGTCTTTTGGACTTTCTCTTTGTAATACGGGTTCTGGAAGGGCGGCAGCAGCATCGTGCTGTGTCTCACAGACAGGCGTGGGGGGGGGAAGAAACACCAAAACCCGCAGTCCAAGGGTTTTTCTGAATTTGGTCCGTCTTAAAGAGTGCTTTGCGATGGCTTTGAACAGTTGTCTTTTAATCTCATCTCATGGCAAAAAAAAAAAAAAAAAAATTTACACAGCGTCTGTGTCTGCTCCACAGCAGCAGTGACAGCATCTGATTTTATAACTCTCTTTAATATCAAAACAGCATCGGCTGGGGATAAATTCCAAAGGATCCTTTATTAAAATAGCTGAAAGAGGTCTATAAATATTTCTTTATTTTTCTAAAAGAGTTTGGAGTTTTTGGGTGAGAATGTGGTGCCGTTTTGGTCCTGCCTCCCGCGGGGGAGGGGACAAGGGCAGGATCCCAGTGCCTCCTACCAGCAGGGCTGTGAAAAAGAAGAGGCGGTGGCATCTGCTCACACACAACTTCAGGTAACTAGTGTTACAACAATAAACGTAAACGGCTTAACATTGCTGTCCACATTTACATGGCTGAGTTCTTACCTCTCTGGCCCCACCCCATCTGGGAGAGGGAGGGGGTGAAGGAGAGAGAAGGTGACCACTGGGGTACACCACTCACCCCCCACCGGTTCAGAATTCCCACTCCAGGGCCTCTTCCCGGTTGGCAGCCCTCTCCAGTCGGTAGATTATGCTATTCAAGTTGGCCATTTTCTCATGCCGCCGCTGTAAGTTGGGGTTCACCTTGGTGCTGGGGTGCAAGGCTGCAGCTGTGTCAGCAGTGGGGCTGGCACTCGGCACTTTGGCAGGTGGGACGCCAGGTAGGGACGGGGAGATGGGGGCTGAGGAGGAGGGGATGGGTGACACGCATGTCATGAGGTCTGGTGAAGAGATGGCAGAGGGTGAGTTCGGTGGCCCCTCCAGGCTGCAGCATGAGGATTCCGAGGTGGACTTGAAACCCAGAGGGTCTGAGTGAACCTGTTCCCCAACCTCCTTTTCTTCGGGGGTGTGCGATGAAGGGCAGCCTGGGTTGGGCGTGTCTGAAAGGAAGGGCCCGGGGGCCAGCTCTGGGAGTCCAGTGTTCCCCAGAGCGGGGGTCTGCTCCTCTTTGGGGCTGCCTTCCCCTCTGTCTGGATCCCCTACATCCAGGGGCTGGCTGTCCTCATCCACCTCTGTAATCTCCTCCTGCTTAATCCTCACCAGAGCCCTGTCTGGGGCAGCTCGGGGTGCAGGACTCTCAGATTCCTGCAGCTCCAGGCTCTTCATTGGGGGCTTTTGGTCCTCAGCCTCTGAGTCAGGGCTCTGCGGGGTGGGGTCTATGTGGGTGTGGCCTGGTGGCAGGACACCGGGACCCCCACTTGGGTCAAAGTCTGGGTCATCCTGTGTTCCCTCCACCAGCATCTCACGACGCATCCTGGACCTGTGGTAGAGACAAGGGTGAGCGCTGCTGACCCCAGACTCGGTCCACAAGAGCAGTGTCCCCCCTATTCTACCATCACCCTGGGCAACACCCATGTCTACAGCTGTGATTTCCAGCCCTGTTTCTTTCTGTTGTTGTTTTTTCCAGACAGGGTTTCTCTGAGTAGTTTTGGTGCCTGTCCTGGATCTCGCTCTGTAGACCAGGCTGGCCTCGAACTCACAGAGATCCGCCTGCCTCTGCCTCCCGAGTGCTGGGATCAAAGGCGTGCGCCACCACCGCCCAGCCAGTCCTGCTCTTTAACAACACCCATTGCTCCTTCTTCCCAGAGCTCACTGCAGACCGCCACACTGTGTAACTCAGCAGCTGGTCAGGGCTGTGCCCGCCTCCCTCCCTCCAGTACCTGGGACAGACTAGGTACTCAGCAAACACTAGGTCGTCGTTAACGTTTCCTTCCGCCGCTGTAACTGAGACTTCTGTGTGTACGTGAGGGGGTGTGGGAGGAGGCCAGAAGTCCATACTGGGTGATGTGAGATTAGTTTTTATTGTCAAATTGATACAACCTAGAATGAACCTGGGAAGAGGCAACCTCGTCGGAAGGACTGCCTCGATCAGACTGTCTCCCATGCCGTGTCCGCGAGAGATTGACTCGACTGTTAATTGATATAAGGGGCCCAGCCCACTGTGGGCGGCACATCCCTAGGCAGGAGGGTGTGCGCTGTATAATTAAAAAAAAAAAAAAACCTAGGGCTGGAGAGATGGCTCAGAGGTTAAGAGCACTGGCTGTTCTTCCAGAGGTCCTGAGTTCAATTCCCAGCAACCCCATGGTGGCTCACAACCATCTGTAATGAGATCTGGCGCCCTCTACTGTATATACTGTATACATGATAAATAAATAAATCTTAAAAACAAACAAACAAACAAAAAAAACCTAGCTAAGCATGTGCTAGGGAGCAACCAGGTCAGCAGGTCAATAAGCAGGCTCCCCCCATGGGTTCCGCCTCAGTTCCTGCCTTGACCTCCCTCAATGATGGACCATGACCTGATGGATAAGTCAAATGACCTTTCCTCCCCAAGATGCTTTTCGTCAGTGTTTTATCACAGCCATAGCAAAGTAAGACTAGGGAGGTGCCGCCACCAGTACTCATACACCTTATTTGCTCTTCAATGTGTTGGGGGCCGTGGAGGGCAGAGGTCTGTCTGGTTCGTCCTCCATCGTTCTTCACCTTGGCTTTTGAGACACTCTCTCGGTGAAGCGGGTACTCACACACCGGCTGGACTGATTGGCCAGTAAGCCTAGGGGCTTCCCGTCTCGGCCTGCCCAGCTTTGGGGTCACGGACGTATGTGTCTCTTCTTTTTAAACTTTAAGTTACATTTGTTTATCCAGTGTGTGTGCGCGCGCACACACACCATAGTGTATGTATGTGTGTCTGTGTCTGAAGTCAGGGGACACCTTGTGGGACTTGGCAATCTCCTTTAGCCTCGTGGGTCCTGGGGATCAAGCTCGCGTTGTCAAACTTGTCAGGAGGCATCAGTGCCCTCTGAGCCAGCTTACTGGCCCAATGTATGGCTTTAAAAGTGCATATGGGACCCAGGGCCCTACTTATGGCAAGCCTGGTTTTCTTTTTTCTTTCTTTTTTTCTTTTTTGAGACAGGGTCTCATTATGCAGCCCTGGCTGGTTTGAGACTCACTACGTAGACCAGGCTGGCCTTGAGCTCAGAGATCGCTCTTACTCATCTTTCAAAACCCACCTCAAATATCACCTCTTTGTTCAAGTTTTCTGGAGGTGAGATTCTCTCTTCCCTAAGCCCTTACTCCTTCTCTTCTGCCATATTAATCAGGCTAAGGTGAAATTAATTGGCTCATGATGTATATATGCTTATCAGGCTCTGGGAGGGTGGCTTTGAACCCCTGATCTCCAGAGTCCAGCTCACTGTGTGTATGTTTTTGAATGAACGCGATGGATAATGATAGAATGCTCAGCTCCTGTGGGAAATGAGAAGCAGAGGTGATGTCCCCATTGCCACTCAGGAGGGGACGAGAGAAAGCTGTTAGGACTCATGTCTCTTTTGGAAGTTGCTTACAATGCTCTTCCTGTTTACTTAGGTAATATTATATCCTTCTGGGGTATATTTGATGTAGTTGAAGACTAGATAGTTATAATTATGGTTTTTCTTGGTTATGATAAAAGATAAGGTAGATATGAAACTTTAGACTCACAAATATAGGATAAGTAGAATATTTTCTTTGAATATGCCAAATATAAACAGACTAGATATTGTAACTGTAATTCTTGCTATATGTATTTGTTATATGTAATTTTACTATGTTAAAGTTAAACCTTTTCTGTTTAGACAGAAAGGAGAGGTGCTGTGGGACGTTCTGTATGCTGTAAATGTGTTGCTCCGATTGGTTGATAAATAAAAAGCTGACTGGCCAGTAGCCAGGCAGGAAGTATAGGCAGGATAAGCAGACAAGGAGAATTCTGAGAAAAGGAAGGCTGAGTCAGGAGATGCCAGCCCACCGTCCAGGGAGCAGCATGCAATGATACACAGGTAAAGCCACGGAAAATGTGGCCACATATAGATCCACAGAAATGGACTGAGTTTAAATGTAAGAGCTCATCAGTGGTAGACCTGAGTTGATGGCGGAGCAGTTTTAATTAAAAAAAAAAAGGACTCATGTCTCCTGTTGCTCTACAGTCTGCATTGGGTACAAAGCTCTACTGTACAGGTTGTTCACTCCTAAAGTGGCTCCATCTGACTGATTTGGCACTGGGGCAGGGCAGGAGTGACATGTCATCTTGTAGAATCATCATGAGACTCTGAGAGGTTAGTGACCTGCCGAAGGCCACACAGCTAAGGTGTGTATGATGTCTACAGGCAGGCTGGGGAGAGGGGTGTGTGCATCCCACACGTTCCCCTTCTTCGTTCTTAGGGATCTTGGGACAGCTCTCTGCCCCAGAATGGATGGATAGACTCTCTTCCACAGTGCCACATGGACACTGGTGACATTTCTTGCTCAGAGAGTGGGTAGGGCCTCAGAGATGATCCTTACAATCTCTACCAAGCTTCCTTCAGGGGGTCCTCTAGGACAGCCTCGGGAAGCCCTGTGGCCTCGCCAAAGCCACAGCACTTGGGACCTCTGAGACCCGTCCTGGAGAATGGAAAGGCCTAAGAAAGGAGCCATGCGGGCTGGCAAGATGGCTCAGGGGTTAAGAGCAGTGGCTGCTCTTCCACAGGACCTGGGTTCAATTCCCAGCACCCACATGGCAGTTCACAACTGTCTGTAACTCCAGTTCCAGGGGATCTGACACCTTCAAACATACACGCAAAACACCAATGCACATAAATTAAGAATGAATAAATCTTAAAAAAAAAAAAAAAAAAAGAAAGAAAGAAAGGAGCCATGCTTAGAGGAACCGCCATGCCTGAGGCTCCAGTAGGGCAGGTGTTCCTTCAGTCTCACGGAAAGGAGAGACCACGAGACCCTAGCTAGCTCCAGCTGGAGACGCCTCAGATCTTGGCCTGATCTGTTCCTTCCTAGAGGCCATTGCACAGAGTGGGAGTGAGAGTCACCCTGTCAGTGGTGGCTGTGCCAGGCCTTTCCATAAACGTCAGCACTGACGGGGGCGGGGGCGGGGGCGGGGGCGGGGAGGATGCACCATGGTCCTTGCTTACAGCTTACAACACGGGGCTCAGGGTCCCTCCGCTGGAGGTGACACGGTTAGTGCATCCAGGAATCTAGAAACAGCTTCGTGATCCAGCTTGCAGCCCCATAGGCCCGAACCACCCTCAGGTGTCCCCATGAGCCTCCGGGGCCTTCCTTATGACCCTCTGTGTCCCCTGTGACCCTCTGCGTCCCTGTGTCCCCACGGCCCCCTCTCTCCACCACTCGGGGACCCTATGTCAAACACCCCCCACCCCACCCCCCCCGCTACCTGTAGTTGTGGAACCAGTTGATGACAGTGTTGGTCTTGAGGTTGAGCTGGAGTGATAGCAGCTCTATGGTCTGCTGGGAGGGATAGGGCTCCAGCTGGTAGGCCTTCCGCAGCGCCTCCTTCTCGGCGGGCGCCAGCACCACGCGTGGCTTCTTGGCCTGCATGAGGCTCAGCTCCTGGGGCTGCTGCTGGCAGGGGCTGGGGCACTCTGAGGGCACAGCCGGGGACTCGCTGTCGGAGCCTGTGCCGATGAGTCCGTAGCGGCGCTTCAGATAGGCTGGGGGGAGAGGGGGCAGGCTGGTGGGCCGTCGGCACCGCACTCACTCGCCACTTGGCAGGGGTGGTAGGGTAGGACTCCAGGGACAGTGGCCAGCCAGCCCAGCAGAGTCCTCCGTGCCCCGACTCCCATCCCCTGTTCCTGCTCCCTTGGCTCTGCTGAGATGCTGGCCTGTCTCCTGCTCTACGGCTCGTGAGGCCAGCTGAGGTTAGCGGGGGGGTTCCTGGAGCACAGCCACTCCAGAGGCCGTAAGGGGGTGCTTGCGGTCAGAGGGCGTCCAAACCGGGGAGCTCTGTGGCCGGCCAGACTATTAGAAGTCTTGCCACTAAGTTTCAGAACAGTTCGCTGTGTTGAGGGGCCACTTTGAACAAACCCTCTTACTGTAGGATGCCTGGTACCACGTCACAGCAGCAAAATGTGAACCAAAGCTCTGCTGTGGTTTAGATCTAGAAGGTTCTCCAGAGGCTGTTGTGGCATATTCCTTTACACTGTGTGAAGATATGTCGCTGTGATTGGTTTAATAAGAAAGCTAAATGGTCAATAGCTAGGCAGGATTTTCGGGGCAGAGAGAACGCTGGGAAGAAGGCGGGTAGCAGCCAGATGCAGAGCAAGCAGGATGGGCAATACGGAGATGCAGTGATAAAGCTACAAGGCGGGCCAGACGGTGGTGGCACATGCCTTTAATCCCAGCACTCGGGAGGCAGAGTCAGGCGGATCTCTGTGAGTTCGAGGCCAGCCTGGTCTCCAAAGCGAGTTCCAGGAAAGGCGCAAAGCTACACAGAGAAACCCTGTCTCAAAAAAAAAAAAAAAAACTGTGCGCCACTTCTGGATGTGTGGATGGCACGAGAGCCGCCACATGCGACTTTGGTGGGGGATGTGAGTATCTGGGTTGCTGCAAAACGGGCGTCTTCAGAGCGTGGTTGGGACCTGGTTACCCGGCCACCCCAGCCTGGCTCTCACCTTTCTTCTCCAGCTTCTTCATGTCCCGCAGTTTTTCCACGTTGTGGGGGTCGCTCAGCCACAGCTGCATGCGCACGAAGGGCTCCCGGCCCTTCAAGCTCAGCTTGTGCCAGGGCTTGGGCCTCGACAGCAGGTCCGACACGGAGCCCTGTGTCAGCCCCAGGATGCTCTCACCAAACAACCGCTGCCCTGGGGACAGGGCAGAGGGCAACTGTCACCCCAGGCCAGGCACAGAGACCCACTCCCAGGAGGGTCAGAGGAGGAGCAGGCTGGGGAGGGTGGCCCAGGACTCCTTCCGCACAAGAGACTGGGGAGGGTCAGCACAGGACAGTAACAACGTAAAATGACTTTTCTGTCAGTACAGTTCTTCATTCCCGGGGGATCACCCCGCCAGACTGCCAGCAGACACCCTGTACTGTATACGCGCTTGTACCCCTCCCCCCCAGGATACCCTAGTAGATTCTATCCAAATTTCCAATGCGTCTGACCTCTGATCCATTAATTCTATCCCCCGGGATCAGCCTGGAGAAACGCCTGCCCAGGGGCATCAGGGCTATAGACTGTTTTTGGTGGGGAGGGTGCCGGGGTCAAACCACAGGTCCCATGCATGTCGGGCACGCTCCATGCTACCCCTGTTCCTGCCACTCCTGTCCCTCTCTAGATTTTGTGTGTTCTGAGAACAATCTTGCTTCGTAGCTGAGGCTAGCCTCAAACTTGCGATCCTCTTGCCCCAGGCTCTTTTTTTTTTTGTTTTTAAAGATTTATTTATTATATATACAATGTTCTGTCTGCATGCATCCCTGCAGGCCAGAAGAGGGAGCCAGATCTCATTACAGATGGTTGTGAGCCACCATGTGGTTGCTGGGAATTGAACTCAGGACCTCTGGAAGAACAGCCGGTGTTCTTAACCTCTGAGCCATCTCTCCAGCCCCTGCCCCAGGCTCTTAAGTACCAATTACAGGGATGCAGGACACACCTGGCTCCTACTTTCATGTGGAGGCCACAGGTCAACCTTGGGTGTCTTCCTCAACGGCTTTCTAAGCCTCAGTTTTTGGAGACGGCATCTCTGACCGGACCTGGAACTCACCATTTCCTGGCTGCCCAGGGATCTGTCTCTGCCCCAACTCTAACTCTGAGTTACAGATGTGTACCACCATGCCCAGCCAGGTTCTTGTTTGTTTTTATTTTTATTTATGTGTCTGGATGTTCTGCCTGCATGCATAGTACACCACTGCATGCCTGGTACCCTCGTAGGTCAGACGAGGGCATTGGATTCCCGGAACTAGAGTTACAGATGGTTGTGAGCTACACATGTGGGTGCTAGGAATTGAACCCAGGTCCTCTGGAAGAGCAACCAGTATCCTTAACCACTGGACCATCTTTCTAGCCCCCATGACTGGTTTTTAACATAGCCAGGGATTGGAACTCAGGCCTTTCATCAGCTGAACATCTGCTTAGCCTTCCTTTCACTTTCTTTCTTTCTCTCTCTCTCTCTCTCTCTCTCTCTCTCTCTCTCTCTCTCTCTCTCTCTCTCTCTCTGTTTTTCAGGACAGAGTTTCTCTGTATAACAGTCCTGGAACTCACTCTGTAGACCAGGCTGGCCTCAAACTCACAGAGATCCACCTGCCTCTGCCTCCCGAGTGCTGGGATTAAAGGCGTGCGTCACCACCGATGGGCTAGCCTTTGTTATTGACCTTTAACTCTTGTTTTTTTTTTTTTTTTTTTTTTTTTTTTGAGAAAAGGTCTCACGCTGTAGCCCAGGCAGGCTTCGAACTTGTGGCAATCCTCCTGCCTCAGCCTCCTAAGTGCTAGGATTACTAAATGAGTACTGTGCCTAGATCGTGTTGGGTATTTGGGGACAACGTTATCTTCCTCTCACAACAGAAACCGTAGTGACAGTTGTTGGATTTGTATGTGTACCTGGTGGGGGACAGAGCTGGCATGCATCTGTGATTCAGAGGAAGGTGTCACCCTGATCCCTGATCCCAAGGATAAGCATCATCATTGCTTCAGTGAATGGATTTCTTTTTTTCTTTTCCTTTTTTTTTTGAGACATGACTGTCCTGGAACTCACTCTGTAACCCAGGCTGAACTCAGAGATCCGCCTGCCTCTGCCTCCCACGGGCTGGGATTAAAGGCGTGCGCCACCACGGGGCGGCTTCTTAAGGCCTGCTGCAGGGCGGTTTTGAGAGCCAAGCTGTATCACCTCCCTTTCCTTCCTCAGCAGGAATCCTGGTCAGAGTCATGGGCCTCACATGGGGTCCTGCACGCTCAGGGCTGGATGGAACCTCCAGGCTGGCCCCACGGTCACTGGAAAGTCCCAGTGGCATTTTGCTCAAAGCCCGGAAAAGCTGGTCTAGGGCTGCAGGCAGCGCCGGGCCTCACCACGTACCTAGGTTGTTGTCTGTGAGGACCTCCTTGACCCTCTTGGTGATGGAGTATGTGTCCAGCTCTGGGGACATGGCCACCATCTCCTGGATGCCCCCTGCAGCCTGGCTGCCTGAGAAGGGCTTCCCGCCCAGGGAGGAGCTGGCCCGACCCTCAGGCTGCTGGTTCTCTTTGCTGCTTTCCAGCGACAGGCCCAGGGGCTCCTGGGAAGTCTTTTCAGGTTCCGTAGGGCTTGGGGGAGGTGACGGTGAGGACCTCGGCTCAGTGGGACTGGCTGTAGGCAGGAGACAGGGGGGTGGTCACTGCCACTGGGCGTGGCTGGACAAGATGGCTTGTCAGAGCTGAGACTGGAACCAAGGCATCTTGCGGCCCCCACAGTGCATCCCAGGAAGGGACTATTCAGGGGGCCTCGTGGTAGGTAGCTTTTCCTTTTTTTGGGGTTCTGGGAGTTGAACCAGAGCCTCTACCAATGAACAGTAACAGTTTGACTCTTTTCAAAAACTTCATTTTGAGAGATGGGCCTCCATACATTGCAAAAACTGGTCTCGAACTCACAATCCCCCTGCCTCTGCCCCAGAGTGATGCTTGCCTGTCTGCAGCCTCTCTTGCCTATCAGACTCTGCCAACTGTTAGTCTGCCATTTGCTTTGACTGTCTGTCTGTCTACAGCCTGCCTGTCTACTAACAGCCCGTCCCTGGGTTTTGTTTTGTTTTTTTTGGGGGTGGGGTGGGTTTCGAGACAGGGTTTCTCTGTGTAGCTTTGTGCCTTTCTTGGAACTCACTTTGTAGACCAGGCTGGCCTCAAACTCACAGAGATCCGCCTGCCTCTGCCTCCCTAGTGCTGGGATTAAAGGTGTGTGCCACCACTGCCCGGCCAAAAATGTGTAGCCCAGGCTGGCCTCGAACTCGTGATCCTCCTGCCTCCGCTTCCTTCAGCAAATCCTACCAGCCACCACAACCGGCCCATCCCTGTTTTACAGCTACAAATTGACAGGGGAGCTCTAGTCTTCTGGCTAAGGTGAAATTGTCACCTGGGACCTGGGACTCTGTCACCTAACACTGTCCTCTGGTTTGTAACCCTGCTGGCCGTCCTGATTATCTCAGTGACTCAAGGTATGGCTTCGCTGGATCCCCACCTTGCAGGTGAGGTTATCAAGTCTAGGCTCTGGTCCTGGGCTGGGATCATTGTCTCTTTATGGTCGCAGGGGCAGGTGGGCCATCCTGCCTGCTGCCATGTGTCCTGAAATAAGTGCCACCCCCAGGACCCCAGCAGCCCTGCCTACTGGCCCTGTGACTCCAGGCAACTCTCTCTGGGCCTCCATTTTCTTCCCCTGCTGAGTTCAGGCTCCACCCTGCCCATGACCTCATTAATGATCAGCTGACTAGCCCAGGCCCGAGCTAAGAAAGATTCGGAAGAGCGACACCAGATCTCAAGGGAGTTGGCCAGTGTGATCATGGGGGGGGGGGGGGGGGGGACCTCCACTGGCCGCGTTTGACCCACAGCTCTAAATGCCTGAGGCCCAAGCTTTTTGCACTTCTGGTGGGTGGAAACTTCTTTCCAGGGGGAACAGAGAAGGGAAGGGGGTGTGTGTGGGTTAGGAACACATGTCCCAGGTGACGGCACTGGGGGGCTGTAAAATGGTGTTGGGGATGGAGAGAGGGGCAGAGGTGGGCAAGCAAGCCTACTGATTGGGGGTAGAGCCTACGGTGGCCCTGGCCCCTGTACTCACCCTGCGTGGCGCTGGGCTGCTGGCTTGGGGGCTGGCCCTGGCCCAGCTGGTCTGATAGCCACAGCTGCATGCGAATGAAGGGCTCTCGGCCCTTCTGTGTCAGCTTGCTCCATGGCTTTGGGCGTGACAGCATGTCACTCACGCTGCCCTGGGACAGCCCCAGGACCTACGAGTGGAAGGCAGATTAGCAAGTCCTGGATGTGGCCTTCCTGGCCCCTCCCAGGCCCTTCAGAACCTGTTCTCCACCCTCAGCACGGCACTGTGTACAGAACTCCCACGTGACCCCTCTCTCCCAGCTCTGGTTCCGTGACCCTTATTGAAACCTGATGTTCCAACACCAGCTGGGGGTCATTAAGGCACTGGGCCAGGCTGAGTCCTTGATCTTCAGGGGCTGGACCATGGGAGCTCCAGAGGAGTGTGGAGGGCAGGGGACTGGCTATTAACTGGCCCAGTGTCCAGGGATGGCTAGACGCCAGGCAGACATTCGACTGGGCTCCTGCGGCGTGGCTTCCCACCCGGGTCACCCTCCAGACTACAGGCCTTAGGGCCAAGGTCACAGTGGACCTTATTCCTGGGTCCCCAGGCTCCCCCCCACCCCCGTGGTCCACACCTTCTCCCCAAAGATGCGCTGGCAGATGCCGTTCTTAGCCAGCTTCTCCTTGACCTGGCGGGTCAGCTCCAGCGTGTCCACCTCCCGGTACATGTACAGCTCGTACTGCTCGGGCGTCAGGGGCGGCACGGTGGGCTTGAGTGTGCGGGGCACGTAGGCCGGGTAGTAGGGCAGCCTCCCGCTGCCCACCTCGGGGACCCCGGCCTCGGTCTTGAACTCTCCCACCCTGGGAGGCTCATCCTCGCCCACGGCTGCCTCATCCTCAGGGCCGATGGCTGCCTCGTCCCCGCGGGGCCAGGCTCGCCCATTGGGCTGTCCCGAGTAGCTGGAGGAAGAGGAGGAGAGGGAGGGCGACACGGAGGCATAGGGGCGGCTGAGCAGGCCGCGGTCCGACGCCCAGTGGTGGTCAAAGTAGCCGGCGTCGCCGATCTCCGACTTCACCTTGCGGATAATCCGCTGCACAAAGGCCGCGGGGGACAGGACAGCCAGCGGCGCCTGCGCACTGCTACTGCTGCTGCTGCTGCTGCTGCTGCTGCTACTGCTGCTGCTGCTGCAGCTGCTGCTGCTGCAGCCACCGCCGCCATCCTCCTGCTTCACGCAGGCCAGGGCCCCGTTCTGGCTCACAGCGGCCAGCGAGGGCCGCTCCGGAGGAGAGGGAGGCACAGAGCGGCCCCTGGGTCCTGACTCCATATCCAGCAGGGCCTGCTGCTGGGCTTGCATTTCGCGGCGGGCTTGTTCCAGAATGTTCTTAATGGCGTCTTCCGAGGTGCTGGAGGAGGCGGTGCCGTTGGGGATGCTCACGGAGGCTGTGGAATTCTTGGGCTCACCTGTGGGGAAGGGTGGCAGCATGGACAGGGGCCCGTCATCAGGGCCAAGTAGCATGTGGTATCTGTGTTTATACCACCTAAATGTGGGGGCCGACCTGGGTCCAACAATGGGGGACTGGTCAAGTAAGTGATGGTCTGTCAGTCTGGTGGAATATTAGGGAGCATTCATAAAAAAAAAAAAATCACCGGGTGGCGGTGGCACATGCCCTTAATCCCAGCACTCGGGAGGCAGAGCCAGGTGGATCTCTGCAGGTTCGAGGCCAGCCTGGTCTACAGAGTGAGATCCAGGACAGGCACCAAAAATACACAGAGAAACCCTGTCTCGAAAAAACCAAAACCAACCAACCAAACAAACAAAATCAAGCCAATAGCAAAATCTTAGTATACGTAGAAAAGAATGAATTTGGAGATAAGACAGTTGTCCAAACCCAAACTGAAATCATGCCTTTTATCTATACTAAGAACCCATGTGTAAAACCTCAAGGTCAAGAAAGAGGCGGTTGGACCGCAGAAAGTAGGTCTTTCAAGCATTCTATAATAGCAAAATCATGGCCCAAACCCTAATGTCCAAAGACAAAAAGACTGGATGACAAGAATGATAGTGTGCATTCAGTGGAATACGACACAGCAGCGAAATTCCCTGCAAAGCCAGGCAGGCATCTTAGTAACATAAACTAGGACATAAAGTTCTAAAAGATGAGTCCGGGGGGGGGGGGGGGGGGGCGCGGCAGTGGCGCACGCCTTTAATCCCAGCACTCAGGAGGCAGAGCCAGGTGGATCTCTTTGAGTTTGAGGCCAGCCTGGCCTACAGAGTGAGATCCAGGACAGCCAAGGCTACACAGAGAAACCCTGTCTCAGACTTAAAAAAAAAAAAGAAAAAGAAAAAAAAGATGATCGGAAGTGTAACACTTCTCCAAGAGTATCAAGCAAGTAAATTAAACATGACTTAGGGGGAATCTTATCGAATGGCAAACACAATGGACTGATAGGGAAAAAACAGGTTGATGGCTATCTTAGGGAGGGGAGGGGAGGGAAGGGAAGAGGAGGGGAGGGCCAGGTCAGAGGCACAGGGACTCTCTACACTGGTGAGGCCCACAGTTTGCAGAGGCTCAATTGGCTATATGAATAAGTGAAGGAACACATACAAGGAGAAGGCCACACAGGAAGTGAGCTGAGAGAATGCCACAAAGCAAGGGCAGACTCGCCTGTGCCCCAGGAACAGCAAGTGATCAGGATATGATCAGGTGCTGCCTCTGTGCCAGACAGGTCACCAGACCTTCCTTCATGACCCTTCCCTATGGCCTCCATCCTGGGACCCACCACACAGCCATTCCTTTGTGTGTGTGTGTGTGTGTGTGTGTGTGTGTGTGTGTGTGTGTGTGTGTGTGTTTTCCAGTGAAAAGTGATAGAACAGTATTCAGTCATGAAAAGGAACACAGCACGGATTCAAGCTGTGACCTAGAAAAACATTTACAACAGGAAGGGCGTGAAGGACGACCCAGGAAACGCCTGTCACGGGACTTCAAAGTGCCGTCCAGCAGCGGGCTGAGATGGGGAGTGTGGCTGCTTACCGGGATGTGGAAGGCACGCCTGCCTTTGGTTTCTCAAGACTGGATCTCTCCATGTAACCCTGGCTGTCCTGGAACGATTCTGTGGACCAGGCTGGCCTCGAACTCAGAGATCCGCCTGCCTCTGCCTCCTGAGGACTGGGTTAAAGGTGTGCGCCACCACCGCCTGGCTAGCCTGCCTGTCACTGTCATAAGCAGTTTGTATACATCCCTCCCCGATCTCCATTCTGGATGTTGCCTTTGGTTCCCTCACGTAGACTCCTGGAGCTAGCACTTGGTCCAGTACCCTTCCGCCTCGGTGATGGCTAGTGCTGTCTGCTTGACCCTTCCCAGCTTTTCGGGGCATGCAGAAGTGGGAGTGGGGGCGTGTGCCCACCCTTGGAGCTTAGTCCCTTGTTGCTGGCCCTGTACTAAGCCTGAACATTTCCCTCAGCTCTGCTGCTGACTTCAAAACCCCCCTGCCCCCGTCTGTTTCTGGCCCTGGGGGGGGAGGAGCACTGTGGCCTCAGGCACCCAGAGCCTGTGTGACTGAACTCAAGGCCTGGCTGCATTTATGTCTCACCCGTATCCATAGCCCTGTCCAGCATGCGGTTGGAGCTTTAAAAATGTATCATGATGGGCGGCGTGCACCTTTAATCCCAGCACTCGGGAGGTAGAGGCAGGCAGATCTCTGTGAGTTCGAGGCCAGCCTGGTCTACAGGACAGGTGCAAAGCTACACAGAGAAACCCTGTCTCGAAAAAAATTAGGGTTGGGGATTTAGCTCAGTGGTAGAGCTAAGGCCCTGGGTTCAGTCCTCAGCTCTGGGGGGGGGGGGGGGGGAATGTATCATGAAAAACCAAAAAAAAAAAAAAAAAGTATCATGAGGGATTGGAGAGCTGGCTCAGCAGTTAAGAGCACTGGCTGCTCTTCCAGAGGACTCAGGTTCAATTCCCAGCACCCACATGGCAGCTCACAACTGTTTATAACTCCAGTTCCAGGGGACCTGACACCCTCACAGACAGTTATGTGCAGGCCAAACACCAATGCACATAAAATAAAAATAAACTATTGTAAAGAAAATGTATCATGAGTGGCTCTGAGGATTAGACCATGGGGCAGTGCAGACTCCTGCCTGTCAGACGTGGTGTTCCCTCTCCTGCGGCCTCTCCCAGGGACAGAGGGCCCCTCACTGGAGCGGCACTCAGGGACACATGTACCTCATAGGACTTGGGAACTGGGACACTTGCAAGGATCCTCCACCAGGGGGCAGCAGACACCACACGACTGGTGGGAGAGCTGAACCCAGCATCCCAGGCAGCCCAGGGTGGACTGCAGGGGAAGTGTGTACACTGGGCCTGGCTGCAGAAGTCCCCAAGCCAGTGGCAGGGACAGCCACATGGTCAGAGCGGCATGGTCAGAATCACAACAAGGAAGAAAAAGATCTCTCCCCCCACCCCACCCCACTGAGACAGGGTTTCTCTGTGTAGTTTTGGTGCCTGTCCTGGATCTCACTCTGTAGACCAGGCTGGCCTCGAACTCACAGAGATCCGCCTGCCTCTGCCTCCCGAGTGCTGGGATTAAAGGCGTGCGCCACCACCGCCCGGCTGGAAGATGGTTTTTTTTTTTTTTTTGGTTTTTCGAGACAGGGTTTCTCTGTGCAGCTTTGCGCCTTTCCTGGAACTCACTTGGTAGTCCAGGCTGGCCTCGAACTCACAGAGATCCACCTGGCTCTGCCTCCCGAGTGCTGGGATTAAAGGTGTGCGCCACCACCGCCCGGCGGAAGATGGTTTTTGACTGTATCGCTCTGTCCACATTCTTCTGTGTACCTAGGCTGCCCCCCCCTGCGACCCCCCCCAAGGACACTGACCTCACTTGATGCCCCCCCACAGCTTTCAGAAAAAGGTGGGCTGATACCATCCCCATCTTAAAGATGAGAAGAGGGAGGCAGAGAGAGAGACCAGGTCGTTAGTGCAAGGGCACACAGCCGATTAACAGCAGAGCCAATTTGTCTACTCAGTACAGTAGGTCACAGTGGGAAATCGGAAACATCTGGATTAGGTGGTGGTGGGGGGCTCCCTGGAGGTGGTGAAACGAAAGAACCTGAGTGGGTGTTGGTTAGACGTCCTGGGTAAGGGTGTAGTGTCAGGGTCTAGCAGGAGTCCTCTGAGAGGTGCGGAGGGGTGTAAAGACTGGGCCTGGATGTCTTGCTGAGCAGCTGGGATATTATCTTGAGAGCAGTAGAGAGCCACGGAGGATGCCTGAGCAGTGAGTGGCATGCCCACGTTTGCGCTCCAGGAAGGTCCTCCTGGCCCTCGGGGCGCTCATGGGATGACAGGTGGAGGTGGCCTTGCCCCTTGTGGAGGAGGAGAGCAGCCTCAAGGTGAGGTGCAGGCGAGGGTCAGAGGTCACTGGCCTAGGCCTGCCTACTCACCTCCCTTCTGAGACTCAATCTCCTTCTTCGCCTGCTCCAGGATACTCTTGATGGCGTCGTCTGAGCCCGTCTCGGGTGTTCGGATTCTCGGGGTGATGCTGCCTGGGGAAGGCAGGAAGATGGCGGCTGTGGGGCCTGCAGGGTGGGGGAGTCAGGCCCTGCAGGTGGGCAGGAGGGTGTGGACCCGACTGTCCTGGGTGTGTGTGTGTGCGCGCAGGGCCACAGCTTACTCTATGTGACAAATGATACAGATGGCATGGTGACTCTGGCTTTGGGACTGGAACCCAGGGCCTTGGGTGTGCTAGGTCGGCGCTTAGCGCTGAGCCACGCGCCGCCCAGCCGGACTCTGGCTTAACAGTAACAGACCATGACGATGATGGCAATAACTAACACTTTTTTTTTTTTTCCCAAGACAGGGTTTCTCTGTGTAGCCTTGGCTGTCCTGGATCTCACTCTGTAGACCAGGCCTGCCTCTGCCTCCTGAGTGCTGGGATTAAAGGTGTGTGGCACCACCGCCCGGCCAGCTAAAGCTTCTTGAGCAGTCCTGCTATTCTGGGTGCAGTGGTTAGTGTTCTGGGTCCTTTTAGCCCCTCCCCAGAGAGCTGACAAATGGGGAAACAGAGGAACTGGCCCAGATCCTAGGCTGGGCTGCCCAGGGAGGGTTGGGGGTAAGAGTGGGGGGGCGTGGCCCAGTGAAGGAGGGAGTGAGGCCATACATCTTTCCCTGGAAAGGTGGACATCGAGGCACCGGGCGGCAGCTCACCTACCCTGGACGGCGGCGGGGCTGCTGCATGGCTCACCTCGCTGCCGCACCTGGATGGTGCGCAGGGCCAGCACGTTCTGCTCATCCGACAGGAACTGCTTCATCTTGATGAAGGGCTCCTTCCCCTTCACCGTGAGCTTGCGCCAGGGCTTGGGCCGCGCCAGGATCTCACTCACCGAGCCCTGCGACAGCCCCAGCACGTAGTGACCGAACACACGCTGGCCGATGTTGTGCTTCAGCAGCTGCTCCTTCACCTGGAAGGCGATCTCGGCCGTGTCCAGCTGCTCCTCCTCGGGCCCAGCCCCGTCCACAGCCTCCGGGGCCCCAGCGGGCTCAGGGCCCAGCGCGGAGGTGGCGGGAGCCGCCGGAGGCTTGGCACCACCATAGAAGGCCGGTGGGAATGCCAGCAGGTTGCCCGCCTCCCCTTTGAAGGCAGCCGCAGGGCCCATTATGTGCTTGGGCAGCAGGGGGTCCCCGGCCAGCCTCTCCGTGGGTGCCAGGCTGGGGAAGGGGGACAGTGAGAAAGTCCTTGGCCCATCAGGACCCAGGCTGGAGCCCAGCAGTGGCTGCCCAGGGCTTGGGGACAGTGGGTCTTCCGGGCCTGGTGGAGGTGGAAGCTGAGGAGGGTAGGAGGGCTCCGTGCCCAGTGAACTCTTGATAGAGTCGTCCTCCGAGGGATCCTCCTCTAGAACACCAGGAGGGATGCACAGACAGACAGACAGACAGAGGGACAGAGCGGCCGGTGGTAATGGAGGAGAGGGATAGGCAGAGGCAGGAGATGATGATTAGAGACGGAGAGGGAGGGGATAGAGACGGGTTCAGAGGGAGCAGGGGCAGGAGGTACGGGGAATGGAGGGACAAGGAGGGAAAAGGCTATAGACCTCAGAGATCATCAGCACCCACACTGGCTGTTTCCCCTCCATCCTCAAATCCCACCTCCTCAGACCCCCCTTCAAATGCTGGTTTGTGGGAGCCACCTGCTGCCGTGGGGAACACGACCCTAGCAAGCAGGGATACGCTCACTGTCTCGGACGTGTCTTTCGGCCCTCTGGGCCCACGTCACCCAGGCCACCCAGCACTTTCAATTTAGAAGGGAGGGGATGAATTAGGCGCCTGCTGTATTCTTGGGGAGGGTCACAAGGCTAAAAGGTCACAGAGCCACTCGTGGGGAGAAGGCAGTTTTAAGCTGTGGGCCATTCCCGGGGGGGTTGGCTGTGGGGTGGGGGTATGGACACCTCCCCCGCTGACTCCTTCTTAAAGCCCCACTGTCCAGCTGGACTCAGGGTCGAGGGGAGCCATTGGGAGCCTTGGGACTACCTGTGACTTTGAATATGGGGAAGCATCACACAGCGGGTGTTCATCTCACAGGCTGGGTCTCGGTTCTCCTGCCTCATAGATGGCAGTGGCCCTGGGGTGTTAAAAAGTCCAGGGGCATCCCTGCCCAGACCCCAGCCCGAGTGCCCCTCAGGGTGTCCCTTGTCCCCTACCAGGGCTGGCCAACAGCGCTGGCTTCTCCAGCAGGAACTTCTGTGTGGGAAAGAAGGCCTCCTTGGCCATGAGCAGAGGGTCGTCCGGCTTGGTCAGGGCCTGAGGAGACGGGAAGCAAGGCTGAGAAGGCATGGTTGGTGCGGGCTTGGGGGCGGCCAGCTTTGGGGGGCAGGGATGGTGGCGGGGACATGTACCTGCGGGAGGCTGCAAGCGCTGGAGGCCAGCTTCATGGCTCTCAGGATGCTGCCAGAGAAAGGAGAGAGGCCTGAGGTCAGCGGGCCCCAGCAGGAAGAGAGGCCCCGAGGGAGATGCTGCCTATCGCCCTAGCCGCTGGACGCTTCACAGGCGACCTCGGGTCTCTGGGTCTCGTGTAGCCCAGGCTAGCTCATTATTCAGACTCATTATGTAGCTGAGGCTGTCCTTGAACTCCCAATCCTCCTGCCTCCACCTCCCAAGCGCTGGGATGAGAGGTGCACAGTCTCACCCACCTCTGATCCTCCCCTTTTCCCCAGCTTTCTCTCACACCCCCGCCCCTTCCTGTCCCCTCCTCTGTGGTTCTAGGGAAGGGACCCAGGGCCCCTTGCACACCACACACGTCCTCTGCCATTGAGCTACACTGCCTGCCTTGTTGCTTCAGCGGGACGTGGATGGAAACTGTAAAATACAGAGTTCTCCAGAAAGTTCTAAAAAGCAAAACTTGGATTTGCCTTGGGCTGTATGCCGAGCGCTGAAGCGGCTCCACAGGAATGGAGGGGGGTGTGTGGTCACTGCGCTAGGGATCATGGGAGAAGAGATGACGGAGCCACAAGAGGCTGTGCCTGGGTTCCACGGGGTACCCTACCACAGTCATATCGGGGGCGCTTAGGCATCGGACCCTGGGGACACCAAGGGTCAACGGTCTCCTGCAAACTGTGCCAACCGCAGGCCCGAAGTGACAGGCATGTTCACAGGCTCCGTTGGTTCCCAGAGGCAGCTTGGTCTGGTGAAGCCCCTATCCCCACGGCCTGTGCTTATCTGGCTGGTGTGTGAGCCCCCAGTTTCCACACCGTGACAAGATGACTAGCTCCATGTCTCCACGGGACAGGACCAGGTTAGTTTCTCTGTCAGCTTGACACAGGCTAGAGTCATTGGGGAACCTTAGTTGAGAAAATGTCGCCGTGAGATCGGCCTATAGTCTGTGGGGGCATTGCCCTGATTAGTGATTGACGTGGGAAGGCCCGGCCCTTCTATGAGCAAAGTGGTCCTGGGTCCTACCAAGAAAGCAGGCTGAGCAAGCCATGGGGAGCAAGCCAGTGAGCAGCACCCCTCCATGGCCTCTGCTCCCGCTCCTGCCCCCCAAGTTCCCGCCTGGTTTTCACTGATGGAACCTGTAAGCTACAAGTTGGTTTTGGCTAACACTTTACCACAGCAGTAGAAACCAAACCAGGACAAGCAGTTTGTTTCCTTGAGGCCCAAGCTGGGGTGACAGGCCCCCCCCCCCCCGCCCCCTCCTCGGCCTCCTGAATGCTGCGTTCACAGACATGCATCGCCATGCCTAGCTTGAACTGCACCAGTTTTGACAGGCCACGTGCTGACTGGAGGGGACGTGGACAGCCATGAGGGGAAGCTAAGAGGGCAGGCCATGAGCTTGGCGCGCAGTCCCGGCCAGCACCGTTCAGCACCGTACCTCAGCTCTGTTTTAATCTCTTCATAGTCAGCCTGGGCCTCCAGCTTTTCTTGTAGTTTCTGGAAGACAAGTGGGGACAGTGAAGCTGGCCCTGTGCTCCCAGCCTGCCACCGCCCCTGCCACCCTGGGACCTGCCTCTATGGCCTCAGACTTGGCTGCTAGCTGCCGCTCCAGGTCAGCGATCTGGTTGGCTGAGACCTCCTCCAGCTCCTGCAAGGAGTGTCGTAGCTGCTGGGCATCCTTCAGCAGCCTCAGGATCTCTCTGTCCTTGGAGGCCAGGGCTGCCTCCAGCCGGGGCCCTGAGCACAGCGCGAAGCTCACCTTCTCCTGGGGACAGAGTGGGGTGTGAGCGGCTTTGAGGGGCTGAACCAGGGAGGGCACACCACCCCTGGATCCCAGGCAGAGGGGAACATTCCATTTGGGTGATCCAATACTGTTGTCCGGCCTGCACAGTTCCCCTAACATAAGCCATGCTTCACTCAAAACCTTTGTTATCCAAGTACAACCATGGCTGGGTGTGATGATAACCTCTGGAGTCAGAGGCAAGAGGATGACCTCCAAGGTTCCAGGTCAGCCGGCACTACACAGTGAGACTTTGTATATATATATATATATATATATATACATACATACATATATATATACATACATACATATATATATACATACATATATATATGTATATATATATGTGTGTGTATACACACACACACACACACACACACACACACATATATATATATATATATAAACTAGGAAAAAAAAAGGCCTCGTTTGGTTAAGTAGGGGGCCTGCGTTTCATCTCCAGAACACATGTGAAAAAGCTATGTGTAGTGGTCTCCATGTGTCACCCCAGGGCCAGGCAGGCGGAGGCAGTTGGATCCCTGGAGCTCAGGAGCTGGCCAGCCTAGCCTAGTCCATGCAGTCCAAGCCTGTGAGAGATCCTATCTCAGAAAATAAGGTGGATGGCCTCTGGGGAATAGCATCTAAGGTTGTCCTCTGGCTTCAACACACATGGGACACACATATGCACATATATGCCTATATGTGTACACGTATATGTTCACACACAGAAAGGAAAATAAGAGGAAAGCTGAGCAGAGGGGAGCTGTGGCAAAGACAATTCCAGAATAGGTTTGGGTTGCCGGTCTGTCTGGGTCCTACCCCAAGGGGATCGACCCATCTAGGAAACCATGGAGCCTCAGGGCTAGATCAAAGATATCCCAGCCACAGGCCATGTTACTATGGCATCTCCTGATTTGTTCCAGACCTGTCCCCTATCTGGGGTCTTGGAAACTACCCCTGTGTCCCGATGACAAGGGACAGACTGCTACCTGTGGGACCTGAGTCAGACTAGTCTCAGGCTCAGTTACACAATCTAAGAAAAAAAAAAAAAAAAAGACATGCACAAAAACAGCCCACCACTACTCATCCCGCTTTCTTCCTTGGAGATAAATGCCAATTAAAACAGGAAGCGGATGCCATTAATACATTAAATTAATTAGCATCAAGCGCCACTGTTGTGCTCAGAAAAACTGCTTCCCAAGCCAGCCGGGCTCCCTGCGGCTGGCTAGCCATTTGTAGGTTCCAGGGGGGTTAATTAAGAACCACTAGTGACTCTTCCCTAGACAGCGACCAAAGCTCCGTCGCTCTCTAGACGTGCTTCTGTGGGACAGTCACCTGGCAGATCACAGACGACACCGTCTCCTGGGACACAGTCACAGGTACCTCCCTGGATTCTCATGCACACACACACACACACACACACACACACACACACACACACACACAGAGGGAACTTCTTGCATCAAAGATCCATCGTCACTGATACATATCAACCCAGACACACACACGTGGGTGCAAGAGGCCATGAGATCTGATGAGCAGAAGCCACCAAAGACACGCCCATGATATCAGTCAAAAGCATTGGCTACTTCCCAGCACCTTCTATGAGCCAAGCAGTCCTCTCTATAACCTTGCAAGGTAGGTGAGGACAGGGAATGAAACTGAGGCGTGGTCAGTGCACGTACGTGCGCATGCACTCGCACGCACACACACACACACACACACACACACACACAGCCACTGTTATAGACAGAAGCACCGTCCAATATTCACAATGAAGGAGCACTATGGCACAAGTACCCACGTGTTAAGGAAGGCATAAACCATCTGCCCCTTGTGATCGTGTAAGGAACTGTGACTCTAACCACTTGGCATGCAGGAACACGGCAAGGAGGCAGACTGGTGAGGACGTAAGGGCGGAATGGTGGGTGGTGACTCAAATCTTTAGGCAGGCAATGACCCCAGGACCCTAGGAGGTGCTGGCCAGAGAAAAGGATAAAGATGGATTGACTTTGTTAGGGACTTCGGGACTGATAGTTGAGATGGGCTCTTTATAGCATGTGGCTGGTGGAAGGGGCAGGTCCCATGGGAGTCATCTCTAAGTTTTAGGACTGAAGGGCTGAGTACAAGCCCTAAGTCGTCTTCTAGCGACTGATCAGGGCCACAAGGTCCCAAGCGGCCACCAAGCAATACAAGTCCAATGTTCAGCAGCACCCCCTGGTGGCCACCACCCACACTGCACCTCGGTCACCTTGCCCAAATCTGGGCACACCTCTCTGGCCTGCGAACAATTCTAGCATTCACAGGCAAGGTGAGGGAGGCATCCAAAGGAAGACACTAGGCTTTTTGTGAAACACCAGTCATTGGAAGTTCGAAGACTCAGAACGGTGGCTACAGTGTTATCTTGCTGGTACAACAGGTTCCGAGGAACCGTCTTACTAGGCTGACATCAACAATGCCCTCCCTGTGTCCCTGCTCACATGCACAGCGCCCTCCCAGAGCCCACCCACTTTTCCTATGTGCAGAGGTGAGGCCTTCTCCAATCCTTCCCTCTGCCACCCTCCCTTCCGAGGGGCATCCTTACCCCACCGGGTCCCTGGGGGGAACAGCAAGCCAGGCGGATGGAGCTGTTGACCGAGGCCAGCTGCTCCCGCAGGCTTTCCACCTCCCGCTGGGCAGCCTCTGCTCGCTGGGGAGGAGAAGAGGGGAGCAAGTGAGAGACGAAAGGGCACAGGGACCCTACACCTGCACCGTCCTGGGTCTCCAAGGACCCAGGTCTTCATGTTGTTGGTCCTGAACCCAGGCTGGTTCACCACCGTCACCGAGCCTGTAGCTGGGCACAAAGGAGAGCAGCCTCGCCTTCCCTTATCTGGTGAGACGGTATTACAGAGCAGAGGCTGCCAGGGGTGTCTCTAGATGCTGGGGTGCCTGGGACCCCAAAGGTGAGAACATTCCTACTGCTGGGGAGGGGAGGGCAGAAAGGGGCCGCCTGTGTCCATCCCCAGGTGGTTCTGACACATACTCGGGCCTATGTCTGTTCTCAGGCACTGGATCTAGACTATGCTCCAGAGGGGGCATCTGCCGAGGTGGCTCCGGTCCACAGGCTATGACAGGCCTCTGGGAGAGCCCCTTGGCCTTCTAAGGCCTCAGTTTCCCTTTCACAAAAACGGAGGCATTAAAAACATCAGAGGAGGGCTGGAGAGATGGCTCAGAGGTTAAGAGCACTGACTGCTCTTCCAGAGGTCCTGAGTTCAATTCCCAGCAACCACATGGTGGCTCACAACCATCTGTAACGAGATCTGGTGCCCTCTTCTGGCCTGCAGTCATACATGCTGTATACGTAATAAATAAATAAATCTTTAAAAAAAAAAAAAAAAAAAAAAAAAAAAAAAACATCAGAGGAGGCCTGAGTGCTTAAAGACAGAGCAGGGTACTTTGCTAAAAGGAGTCTATGGTAGAGCTTAACTCTACCCATGCAGTTACTTGGTTATTTATTCCAGAACCTTCTATAGTCTGGGCTGGCTCTGAACTTGAGATGTCGCTGAGGATGACCTTGCACTCCTGGTCCTCCTGTCTCTACCACAGGTGTTTATCACCACACCCGGCTGTGATCTCTTTTCTCAAGCCCATGCCATTGGCAAAGATCTGAAAGTTTGGACACACGGTACTGGCTTCATTATCAGACAACCAGCCTGGTGCCTGCAAAGGGGGTCGGGGGAATCATGTGGCTCCCCTTTGCCCAGTCGCCCGACTTTCAGGAACTGGCGATACCCATCGGCTCATGCATGTATGAGATGGTATCTGCCTGAGGTTAACTGGGAGGAGGGGAAAGGTGGGGGGCATTAACTATAAACAGTCATCCATAGTGGCCTGGGTAGAGCAGAGTCAGCAATCTATTACCCACTGCCTGTATCCCCCAGCCAGCCCTCCCACCTCAGCCCTGCCCCCACCCACTGGAGGCTTCGGCCTCCTGCTCACCTGGTTGGCTTTTTCAAGGTTTGTCATGATCAGGCCGACCTCATCTGCCCTGAGACACAAAAGGAAAGCGGCCCTGAGACGGGTTGGCAGCCTCCGCCTGGACCTCTACCCCACAGTGCGGGCCATGGAGGCTGCGGTCCACACTCCCCACCAGAGAGAAGACAGACAGGGTGGAAAAGAATCCTGACTGCTGGGAACTGGGGACCGGGCCTCAAAACTCCTCTTGAAGGCAGCCCAGCCCCCGACACCGTCAAGGCCCCAATCTCAGGGGAGCCATCACCAAAGCTGTCCCCCCACTGTACCTCGACCGAGCGTCCTTCCCCCTAAGAATCAGCTCCCTCACACAGGAGGCCTGCCGTGACCCCCTAAGGGGGTTGCGTGTCTTCTGTGGGACGATTGATTTCTCCCACACTGTGACATGGAGGGCCCAGGACAGGTCTGCCTAGCTTGGTGGGACTCTGGGACCTGGGGGACACTGGTCACACCTGTGCTGCCACATGCTCTAGGCCTGCCCTGTACCGGCTGTCCCTACCGCCCCCGGTGCACTAGTGTGTCATCCAGAGGTTGCTTGCCTGGGCCACGCCTGCCTTCTCTGCCCTTGCCTCACTCAAGCTCTTCTCTCGGAGATGCTCAGCACAGTGCTCGCACACAGTAGGTGCTCCATAGTAACTATGAATGGATGTATCATGGCCTGTCACTGTCTGTGTCTGCTCTGACTAAAGCAAGGACAGGAGTTAATGTTTCCCCCAGGGTCTCAGCACGGCACCAGATAAACAGTAGGCGCTCGATAAACGTTCACGGAGCAAGCGATGTCTTAAACCCAAAGAAGGGCTCACACCAGATAAACAGTAGGCGCTGGATAAATGCTCACGGAGCGAGCGATGTCTTAAACCTGAAGAAGGGCTTGCATTCTGAGTCATTTAAATGCTGTCATTTGGCCTCCACGGGTTGTCCTGGGAAGTTGAGAAGTGGGGACAGCTCCTGGGTCAGGGGTCAGGGGTCAGGGGTGAGGTTGCCCAGTGGCTTCATTCAGGTGGGCTCAAAGGTGTTTTTTGGTTTTTTTTTTAAGATTTACTTATTTATTATGTATACAGCATGTATTCCTGCAGGCCAGAAGAGGGCACCAGATCTCATTACAGGTGGTTGTGAGCCACCATGTGGTTGCTGGGAATTGAACTCAGGACCTCTGGAAGAGCCGTCAGTGCTCTTAACCTCTGAGCCATCTCTCCAGTACCCTCAAAGGTGTTTTGACTATGGTGTGTGAGCAGAATGGGAAGATGGGTCAGGTGCATGCCTGGGAATGAGGAACAGAGACGGGAAGAGTCAGAAAGAGGTTGTCTCTCCACGCGCGCATGCGCGCGTGTGTGTGTGTGTGTGTGTGTGTGTGTGTGTGTGTGTGTGTGTGCACAGAGGGACGCAGGCATCCCTAGCTCACTTACTTGGACGCAGCCTCCTCATCATATTTCCTCCTCAGCTCCAGCAGCTCCGTCTGTGTGGCTTTTAGCGCTGGGAGGGGTAAAGACCGAGTGAGGAGCAGCAGCCGCTGGGCAGATCCCCCCCCCCCCCCCCCCCCGCCACATACACACCGGAAGGCAGTTTGGGTGGGCAAGGGATGGAGAGCTGGCAAGGTAGGGACCCTCCTGCCTGGGGCAGGTGAGGGCCTCTTAGAGCAGTGGGTTCTCAACCTGTGGGTCACAACCCCTCTTGGAGTTGAATGGTCCTTTCACAGGGGTCGCATATCAGGTAATTACATTACGATCCATTACATAGCAAAGTGACAGTGTAAAGAGTTTTATAGTCCGGGGGTCACCACAACATGAGGAACTGTATTAAAGGGTTACAGCGTTAGGAAGGTTGAGAACCGCTGTGTTACACTCTGAGAAGTGCAGGGAGCCTTGGCTTAGTGGGACTGTGGGGCTGTCCACTTTCCTGCCCTGCAGGCCTGGGTGGAGCCTTTCCACCCACCCTGAGGCCAGCCTTTCGACAAGCCAGGAGCCCTAGTCTGAATTGACACTGAGAGATTTCTAGAAAAATCCCAAGGTTTTTTTTTTGGGGGGGGGGAGGTCTTGTTTTTCTTTCTTTCTTTTTTTTTTTTTTTCTTTTTTCACTACCACAAATTATGCAGTCGAGTTTCCCGCATTTGGGGAAATCGCAGAGGTCAGCACATCCGGAGTGCAATGGATAAGCCTTGCCCTGGGAAAACCACCTTCGTGATCATGGTATCTCCCCTGCCAGGTAAGTATTCTTTCTTTTTTTTTCTTAAAGATTTATTTGTTACGGATACAGTGTTCTGCCTGCATGTATGCCTGCACACCAGAAGAGGGCGCCAGATCTCAGTACAGATGGTTGTGAGCCACCATGTGGTTGCTGGGAATTGAACTCAGGACCTCTGGAAGATCAGGCAGTGCTCTTAACCTCTGAGCCATCTCTCCAGTCCTGTCTTGTTTTTCTTTGTTTTGGTTTTTTAGGGACAGAGTTTCACAATATGTCTAAGGCTGTTTGGAACTCACTATGTAGCCTAGGCTAGCCTTAATCCACCTGTCTCAGTTTTCCGCCAGTTAAACACTGAGAAATCTAAAGGGTAGGCTACTCACTCTGGGCCACCAGAACCTGCCTGGTGGCCCAGGGCAGTAGTCACTTTCCTGGCAACCTGGTTCCACCAGGTGCCCTATGGTCTGCCACTGCCCCCATGGTCCAGTGCATGCTCACTGTTGAAGAGTCAAACCCCATTTAGTTCCATCCAAGCTCTGCTGAATGAGTTGCTCTCTACACCCTATTTCTGGCTTCCCTTCCATCTTTGGGCACGCCTAGTCCATCTCCCCAAGTTCATGGCTTGATCCCCATACTGCTTCAAGGGCTATCACCTGAGCCAAGGGGTCATACCTGAATGTAACACCTTGATTTTCTCCTCTGCCTCCCCCAGCCTGGCTGCCAAGGTGACGTGGACTTCTTGGAGGCCCCTGCAGGAACATGACTGCTCATGCTGGTTACAGGGACTGACCTGGACCCACTCGGAGCAAGGCCCTCCCCATGGTCTGCACCTCATTCTATGCCGAATCCAGACCTGGTGCACCCACCACTCCCACAACCCGCTCCGGATGCTACGGTCCCCTGTGGCTGCCACTGACAGTGTGTTGGGCCTCAGTTTATCTATAAACAGGACTCCTGAGGGGCTCCACCACAGTGGGTGCCGTGGGTCCGGCATCGTCAGCCTTCCTGGTGTTATTCCTGTTCCACAGGGTCATTCTGCTGCCTATGGCAGGAGCTTGGATGTTCAGCCAGCCCCCTGAGGCCTCTCTCAGGGGGGATATCGCTCTAGCGGTGGAGAAAAGGGGCCCAAGTGGGATTGGAGGAAGGTTATACCCAGAGCTGGAGCCAAAGCTACCCAGCTGCCTCACTCCTAACTGGGAATGAACCTTGAAGTCTGGCGTCACCTTCCCCTCTCAGGATGCCCCTCTGGTAACTCTCATGTCCTCTCCTACCTCACAGCCTTCGCCCTGGCTGTTCCCTTGGCCGGTCACACCCATCTATACCTGCAGGAGTCTCACCAACAGGGGGCTTTACCTGCCCCCCCACCAACCGTGCCCCCTGGGGCCTGAGAAAGACCCTGCCATCCTATCTCCTCCCTCTTGCTGGATTTTTCTTCACCATTTGATAGACACGGCTTATCTTTATTTCTTCCTCCTGGCCAGCTCACCGATGTGCCAGCGTTGGTGCTGGCAGACTCTGTCTGGGTGACACGGATGTCTATCATCCGCTGATACTGCATCAAAGGGAAGGCCCTAGACAAGGCTGGCAGGTCTCATCTAACCCGTAGGCGTTTTTAAGAGTACGGTAAGGAAAGCGCTGGTGTTCCCAGGGAGCAGGAGCTGTGCCTGGGTTCTGCTACAGGTACAACTGACAAGAGCCCCATGACCGTGTGACCAAAGGCCCCAGATACAAGTCTTAATCCATATATAAAAACTAAACTAGCACACACACACAGAAATCCTGCTATTTCTTTTTGGATAAGACTGATAAATGTTCCCAGACCAACCCATTCCCCAGACAGGGTAACTGAGGCTTGAAGAGTGAGGTAAGAGTCCTAGGGCCTGCCTGAGGGTCCCTCACCCTTCCCCATCTCCCACCTGCCCTTGACTGACCCAGGCGGGCTTCCTGGGCGGCCCTCCCCCCCTCCCCCCTCCCTCCCTCCCTCCCTCCCTCCTCACTTCTGTCTCTCGGCCTCATCCTTCTGCAACAAGGTGTCTGTCAGGAGGGTGTGCTGGGTGTGCAGGTGGCTGCCGTTGGCCGGCGTGTGCCCGGTAGGGCACGTCCCCTCGTTCTGCTCTGTGGAAGACAGGGAGGACCACACTCATCACTCAGCTGCCGTCACGGGAGCTCTCCACAGGCCACCGGGGATCAGTCCCTCAATTTATCATTAGAGAGAGCGCGCGCGCGTGCGGGGGGGGGGGGGCGGAAATGGGGGGGTTGGGACCCACTGGCTTCTGGGCTGGCATGATTACAAAGCGTGCTAGCTCGTTTTTATGTCAACTTGGCACAGGACAGGCTAGCATCATCTGAGAGGAGGGAACCTCAATTAAGAAAATACTTCCATAATATAGGGTTGTAGAAAGGCCAGTAGGGCATTTTCTTAATTAGTGATTGACGGGGAAGGGCCCAGCCCACGGTGGGTGGTGCCATCCCTGGGCTGGTGGTCCTGGGTTCTATAGGAAAGCAGGCTGAGCAAGCCATGGGGCGCAAGCCAGTCAGCGGCACCCCTCCACGGCCTCTGCATCAGCTCCCTGCCTCCGGGTTCCCGCCCTGCTGGAGTTCCTGACTTCCTTCAGTGATGTGGAAGTGTAAGCCAAATCAACCCTTTCCTTCCCAACCTGCTCATGGTTATGGGGTTTCATCACAGCAACAGTAACGCTAACTGGGACACAAAGCCAAGTTCCCAAAGTTCCAGCCTCAGACAGCACACCCATGCCCCCTCTGTCCTCCCTATTATTTTTAAAATTGTGCTAACATACACATAAGACCTTCCACCTTAACTATTTTTGACGGACATTCATGATATTATCTGTTTGTGTGGTTTTTTTTTTGTGTGTGTCAGGACCAAAAGAGATTCCATTTCCCCAAATTCTGGGGTTAGACAAAAAGCCGGCCTTCTCGGGAACTTGTAAAGCTGGCTCCCCTTCTACCAAAAGGAGCGATTTCCTTTACCACTGGCAGAAGGGACCAACGGCTACCTGTGGCGTCTATTAGCGTACACCAGTGGACACGGGCTGGCCTCCAGGCTCCCTCAGGATGACAAGGACCTGTTACACATTTCCCAGTCCATGCCAGCATCCTAGGCTCCTAAACTCCCCCAGCTCACGGGCTTCCCTCCCCCAGCTCGGCTTTTTGTCTGGCATTTTTCTCTCTCTCAATCTATCTCCTCGCCCCTCTCTGCCCCTGCTTTTCCTCATGGCCCCGTTGGTCCAGTCTGCTGGCCACGTTCAGCCTACTACTTTCTCTCTGCTCCAGACCCTTCCAGATGCCTCTGGCTGCTCCCTCTCTCATATCTACAATAAAAACCTTCCCCTTGGCCATACCACAGGGTGTTGTCTGTTTATACAATTTTTTTTTCCCCCGAGACAAAGTCTACACAGCTCGGGCTGGTCTTTGGTCTCCTGAGGGCTGGAACGTTCAGGCGCGGTGGTCAGCGCTGCTCTGACTGGATGCCGTGGGCACAAGGTGGTAGGGCCCGAGATGGCAGATCCTGCAGCCCTGCCACCATAACCCACTGTCACTCGAGGCAGCGGAGTCCAGCTCCTGCCCCACGACCCCAAAGGGCGCTCAGGTCTGGCTGAATCTCCAACGTGCAGGTTTGCCCTACCATCATCCGGTGGTGGCATCATCAGTACCTCTGACACTGGGCGGCTCTGGGCACCTCTTCCACGAGACGTGCACGTCTTGTAGGCGCTGCCCACTGGGGTCAAAGCTGGGGCGCTGCAGTCTGTCGTCCAGAGTCCGCGCCACCTCAAAAGAAGGAATAGCGTCTGAAGGAGAGAGAGAGAGAAAGTGGGGAGGTGGAGGTCAGGGGACCACGACGCCCTTCCACAGAAAGCTGGGGAAAAGTACGTTAGAGTCACTTGGGGATCGCTCTGATGGCTACGGAAAGCAGGGATAACTTTTTATTTCTTTAATTTATTTTAAAAATTAAAAACACGTCGGGTGGTGGTGGCACACGCATTTAATTCCCAGCACTGGGGAGGCAGAGAGGCAGGCGGATCTCTGTGAGTTCGAGGCCAGCCTGGGCTATAGAGCGAGATCCAGGACAGGCACCAAAGCTACATGAGAAACCCTGTCTTGAAAAAAAGCAAAAACAAACAAACAAACAAACAAAAACAAAAGTTAAAAACATATTTTTAAATTACGGGGGGGCGGTATGTGCACATGAGTGCAGGTGGCCTCAGAGGTGTCAGATGCCCCCGAGTTGGAGTTCCAGGTGGTTGTGAGCCAACTTACGAGGGTGCTGGGAAACAAACCTGGGTCCTCTGCAAGAGCAGCACCCGCTGAACCACCTGTGGTGAATGAGAACGGCCCTCCTAGGCTCACATGGTGATATGCTTATTTCCCGTTAGTGGAACTGTTTGGGAAGGATTAGGAGGTGTGGCCTTGTTGGGGTTTGTCAGCGGGCATGGGCTTGGAGGTTTCAAAGGCCCATGCCAGGCCCAACCTTTTTCTTTATTATTTGTTTTTGTTTTGTTTTCAGATGGGGCATCTCTATGTAGTCCTGGCTGTCCTGGAACTCCCTCTGTAGACCAGGCTGGCCTCGAACTCACAGAGATCTGCCTGCCTCTGCCTCCCGAGTGTGGCGCATGACACCACACCCAGCTGCCAGGCCCTATCCTAGTCTCTGCCTACTGCCCACGGATTAGAATGCAAAGTTCTCAGCTCCTCCTCCAGCACCATGCCTGCCTGTGGCTATGCACTGCGAAGGTTGGGAGGCCCCTCGGAGTCTTCTAGGATGCTTGGACGTTTTGGGAACTCCCTCTCCCGTGCCTAGGGTCTCAATCAGCATGCAACTGACTTCTGCTGTTACGGTCGGACTCACAAAGGGGCCCTGCACACTGCATGAGGCAACAGAAGTCCTGAGCGGGCCACGCTGAGTAAGGATGTTCGACCTGGTGGGACCTGGTCCCTACCTTTCCAGGCCCTCGCAGTCGAACTGACCATCAGTTCTGTGACTGTTCCACTGTTCCTGGAGCCCCTCGATCCCTATTTCCAGTAAAGCTCTCACCCCTGGGTAGACACGCCACAGGCTGAGACACGTATCAGTTAAGTACAAGAAAACCCACCCCAAGATGTTGGCCTCGCCTGTTGCACGAATCCTAAATGGTCTTATAATAAAAACCCGGAGCCAGATATTGGGGTAATTGCTGAAAGATCAGAGAGACAAAGGAAGAAACCGCTAGAGAAACTTCTCACCACTACTGAATCCTCAGGCGGAAAGGGAGGCTAGATCCTGTCTCCACCAATCCTCTGACTGAAAGCCTCTGAGTCCTCAGCCGAAAGGGCTCTGGTTCCTGTCTCCTCACGCCTTCCCTGCCCTTCTCTGCCCAGCCATTTCACTTCCTTCCTAGTGCTGGGATTAATGATGTGTGTGCTTCCCAAATACTGGTAGCAGAGGCATGGCATCTCAAGTGCTGGGATTAAAGGCGTGTGACTCCCAAGTACTAGGATTAAAGGTGTGCGCCACCACTGCCGGCTCTGTTTCTCTCCTAGACTGAGTCAATCTCATGTGGTCCAGGGTGGCTTTGAACTCACAGAGATCCAGACGAATCCCTGCCTTCCAAGTGCTAGGATTAAAGGCATGCGCCACCACTGCCTGGCTTCTATGTTTAATCTAGTGGCTGGCTCTGTCCTCTGATGCTCAGGCAAGCTTTATTTGATACACAATATATTACCATACTCGCCATCACACCCAAAGCACCCGAGAGGTCGAGGGGAAAGGCACCTTGCAGGTGACAGGGCCCAGCATAGGAACAGCAACCACAGTCCTCTGTGCCCCCATGTCCCACCCATTGTCACATGGAAAAAAACAACAACCGAGGCTTGGGGAGTCAGGTGGTGTGACATTGGGGTCAGGGTCTCTGATGGGATCTTACGAACGTGGCCAGTCCCCAGCGCGTGCAATTATAGCCTCAGCAGGTGCATGCAATGTTCACAGATGCGTCCTGGACCACAGGACCTGAGGCCCTGGCTCCTTCTCATCCCCTGGAGCCCTCTCCCCTTGGCTCACCCACTTGGGTCTCAGGATTGCTGTGCACCTTTGACAAGCAGCTGTTCCCCTTCTGTGCCTCACCATAGACGGCAGAACCCAGGGCGGGGGGTGGGGGTGGGGGGGGGGTTGTGTGACGAGGAGCGTAGAAAATGGTCAACGCAGCCTCCCCCCGCCAGACCTCACCAGACACAGAAACCCTAACTATCCCTTCCTCATGATGCCCCCCAGTCCTCACCTCAGAGGCTAGGCTTAGGAGCGTGCCAGCAAGAACATGCTCCCTTCCCCTTCCAGCAGCTCACATGCCACCTCTTCCAGGGAGGCCTCCACATCGCGTCCATCCTCTCAGACAAAAACACACACCCCCCCACCCCCCCACCCCACCCCCGTGTGCCCTTCGCGGGTCCCACCACAGTCAGACTCATCCAGCCAAGGATGCTGGGGTCACATCCATTCTTGCTTCACCCCTTCTCACAGAACCTGGCTGAAGCCGGACAGTCTAGACAAGCACCGTGCTCGCCTAGGAGCACCTTCGGGTCTGGCTGGAACAAGTCGGTCTTTTGTCTCCTGGTTGTTGAGGTGGCGGTGGCTGGATGGTGCGTGCACTGAGGTGAGCAGGTGTGAGGGACTTGGCAGTGGCTCTCCTCTGTCAGCAACGCGCCCCCCCCCCCCCCAACGCCTGTCATTAGGCCGGGCCTGCTCAGCGGGGTGTGCCATTATGCCTCCCCGGGCTGGTGTAATTATACATTGACATAATTAACCCAGCGAGCGCATTAGGCAGGCCGGCTAAAAATTCATCTCTAATTATTTGTTGTGTGCATGCTAACGAGCCCGTCTGCACTGCCTTTGTGCAACACGAACAAATTAATTTACAAGTCTAGATTTTTTAATAAGTTCAAGGAATTGCTTTCTATTGTGGCCTGGTTTCTTTTTTTTTTTTTTTTTTTTTTTTTTGAGGAAGGAAGAAAAAGGCGCCAGGAGGCACCGGGGGTTTGCAGGGGTCATCCGGGAAGTTAGATAAACACGGGAGAGCACAGGCAGAGGAGGCCATGGGGTCGAGGAAGTTCTAGACTGTGGCAAAGGGGCCCAGAAGGCCAGGCCAACGGACCGCACGGGGGCAGGAAAGGGTGCCTGTCACCTGCTGTTCACAGAGACCAGGACACAGCCCTTTGCCCTCCTTGAGGGGTTCCTGACAGACTGTATGTTCTGTCCAGGGAGTCTGGGCTCCACACAGGAGAGGTGGCAGGAATGTGGAGTGGGCAGTTCTTACGTCCCGGGAGGCATTAACGGGGAGCTTAAAAAGAAGGCACTGAGCTGGGCCTGGTGATGGGGCCTGTCAACTCAACTTCTCTGGGGGCCGGGGCAGGAGGATTGCAAGTTCAAAGGGCAACTTGATAACAGGAAGCCTGGGGATGTGGCTTGGTTGTTATAACGTGAATGGAGCCCTGGGTTTCAATACTGACTCCCCATAAAGCAGGAGTGGTGGCGCACACCTCTAATCCCAGCACTCTGGAGACAGGAGGATGAGGCACTGCTCAAGGTCAGCCTGAGCTACATAAGACCCTGGCTATGGGGATGGGGTGGAGTGAGGTGGGGTCAGGGAGGCTGGAGATGTGGCTAGCCCAGAGCGCTTTCCTAGCTAGTGTGAGGCTCTGGGTTTGATCCTCTGCACACCTACACAAATGGATAAAAGGCAGGGAGGGAGAGGTGGTGTGACTCAGGGTGGGAACAACCACGGGCCCCCGCTGTCCATGTGGCTCTGCGCAGTCACCGCTGCTCAGAGTCTCGAGGGCAGGAGCGTGGGACCTGAGCGAGGTGAGGCACTGGCTGCTGCCGTCACCCCAAGAGCCAAGTGCTCACTGGATCTCAGGTGTGCTGGGGTCAGCCAGCCCACAGTGATGCTCTGTGAAGACGACCCCACATGCTGTCATCAGTTCTCGAGAAAAATGGCGTCCAGCCTCCTTGCTCTGAGATAACTCCACTCTGGGACTCCTGAGGCCACACAGAAGGCTCCCCTGGAGACAGGCTGGCTCCCTTCATTTGCCGCTGACTCCCAACCCAGTGCTATAACGGAGTCCTCCCGGCCATGTGACTTTCACTGCCGTGATGGGAGGCAAGTGATATTGTATCTCTGTTGCACAGATGGGGAAACTGAGGCACAGGTGATGGTACTGCCCCAGGGTGAGGCAATGGGAGAAGGGACCCCCCCCCAGGTAGATCTCCAGGGCAGGCTACCTGAGATTCCCCATGTTCCAGCTGGTGGGTATGGAGGGACCCTAGAGCTCCCTAGGGAGTCTGCCATCCTCTTGTTTGGTCCACTTCCGGGGCCTGTGACGAGGAGAACCTTGAGGTCAAGGTCAAGGCTATGACACTGCCTGGGAAAGTGGCTTAGGGTGCCTTGGGCCTCAGTTTCCCTATATGTTATACCTGGAGATAACAAGGGGACACACCACACAGGGTCAGCAAGGGACAGGTCAGCTCACAGGGCCCCCGACAGTGCAGGCCTCAGGTCCACACACTGCACTGTTAGGGTCCCTGCTAGCGAGATTGCTATGTCTCCCTCCTGCAACAGAGCACCCGAGAGGAGAGGGCGGTGGGGGAATGGGGGGCAGTGCCTGGATCCCCCACTGAGTTCCCTCAAGACCACAAGAGCCAAACTGCTCCCAGCAGTGACTGAAAATACTCAGGTCTGTGTCACACTTACCCGCCTTGCCGGGGCCACCTGCTCAGGTTCACGGGCCAAGCTCTCCGGGGGACACTGTGCAGGAGGCGGGG